CTCTGCGCGAAGCCCGCTGGCTCCCTCTCCCCGGGCCTTATCTCTCTTTCCCACCGCCCCCTTGTCGGCCCCTAGTCACCTCACCCTCCCCCGCGCCACTCTCACTTTCTTGCTCTCCTCCTAGTCTCCCGCCACCTTTCCTCACTGGCTGAGCCCCCACTCAGCTCACGCCCTGCACCCCACTCCCCACATCCAGATCTCCCCTTCTCTTCAGCGATCCTCCTTTTAATCCTTCCTCGCAGTCCTCACCTTTCTCTCTCTTGTCCTCCTCTCTCCCCAACCCTGTCCCTACTTTCCCCGTACTTTTCTTTAACTCCTCTTCGCCTCTCCTTTTCCTTTTATTTTGTCCCTTTGCTTCCAGGCTCCGTATCCCTTTATATCCGTCCCCTGGACCTTTATACGCGCCTTTCGTCCTCTCCTCTGCAACGACCTTAAAAAACGTTCGCCAACATCAGGCTGTTTTGTCACTTGTCCAAGTTGATTTGGATCAGTGTCCCATTTTGTTCCCAGGAAAAAAATCCCGTCCAGGTGGAGATGTGTGATATTTAACTCTTGGGAATCTTGATCTGGAGCTGAAGACCCTTTGTCTTGCCTCCTGAAGGGTGCAGCCTCTTCGACCCCTTGGCAGCTCTCACAGCATAGTTCTCTTTCCCTCTCCCATCCAATGCAAACTCTAAGCGTTCTTTCTGCTACAGCCCCTTTCCTAAAAGAAAAGACACCGAGTGTCACTGCAAGGATGGCCAGAAATTTTCTCCTACTTCATTTCAGGCTGCTCAGAGACTGACTTCTTTTTTGTTGACCACCTCCATGTGGCCCCAGGTTGACTGGCCTCCTTGGATTTCTGCAAGAGCCTAGGATCAATAAACCCTAGCAGTGGCACCTGCTCTGTGAGGTGATTATTGCCTTTGAATAGAGATAGCCCCCGGTAATAAATCAAAGTAATGATTTTCTTCCTTGCAAGTTTCTGCATGGGCCAAGATGGTACACAACAAAGTAGTGCTGCACACTGAAGTCAACATTTCACTTGGTTCTGCTGGTCATCAGTAAGCAGCAGTTACAAATGTGAATGTTGAGAATGGCAGGCAGATTCATTTTGTAAAATGAGAAAATGTGAGGACCTAGGGCACGGAAAGAGTTAATTGCTTATGTTGTGTGATATTTACCACAGAGATGCAATGTTCTTGTGCCATTTAGTGCCCTTGGCGCCACTGTCCAAGGCAGAAAACCATGTTGGATGAATGGCAAGTCTTATGTTCTTATGCTTTGAAATATTAATGATCAAGAGATTATGAGGCATTCATTAGATGCTAAATGTCATTACGCCACGATTTAATGGGACTTATTAATTAGTGCCCCACATCAATTGGTATTAATGTGATTTATAGATTTCTTTGAGAATGACGTCAGTAAAGATGGTATGAGAATTTTGCTGGGATTTATTGTCGTTGCTGTTTATGCTCAGTATCTTCAGAGAGAATATTTCCAATGAAGAATGTGCACCTCTTCTGAGTCGCTCAGTTCACAGATAGATGACTTAACCAAATATTTCAGTCATATCAGACCCCCATGCCCGTTTCTGCTGACCTGACAATGTGAATTATTGCTTAGATTTTCTCACAGCTTCTGCAAGATCTATGGTAAGCTCTAGTCTAATTAAGGAAGACAAAGAATTATAATTTTAGTGTTTCCCTCACCTCTAAGCTTTTCCTTAACAGGAAACGCTAAGCTCATCAAAGGAGTCTTATCTGGATTTACACCAGAATGATGAGACTTAGAAGCTTTCTTTTATTTATACTTTATAATATGTGTAAAATCCTAAATCTTGATAGGTACACAGAGAAAATACCTTTAACTGTGAGCCCAGAGCTGACATCTGAAATTGACTCAAGTTGTCATATGTCCTTTTATTTTAAAAAATGCCTTTTCAGATAAAGTTATTTCAGAATTTGCAGGTCGCAGGAGTTGTCAAACCTTTAGCAAGTCTTCACCCCCTTTTCAAACACTGATGTGTTTATTTCAAGAAGTAGATCTTCAGCCAGATTTCAAAGTTACCTGATCATACAATAACCCTGTACTCAACTGGAGGTAGGCAGAAAGAAACCTCTTTTCCAGGCACTTCTATTTAACGTAAAGGAACATAGTGATCTGCCTCATTTTTCAAGCCAGAACTCCTTGATCACACCCTTCTTAGAAAATAGCATTATCCTTGAAGCTCATTTATGCCTATGTTTAAGATCAGTCTCAGCATATAATCCAAAGGTTACTATATGATGGATTACCCTTGACAGTATTTCATAAAAAAATGTCACACATTACAAATATGGGCCAGCAGTATGTAATGAGAGCACTGCCTCTGCTGGTGCAGCATTAACAGCATCAGCAGTGATGTGACATGTGATGTGTATACAGGCTATGCTACAGCAACTGCACGGTGCTCCATCCATGTTTTCATATTTCCTCTTTAGAATATTTCCAGCAATGAAATAACACTCTCTAACCCCCACGATGGTATGGGAATTGGGATATGAAGATGAACAAATGGCTGCCGTCTTTAAGATGTTCCCAGTCCAACAGTAAGACACAGACACATGGACCGAACGAGAGGCAAGTGCTGTAGTAGAGATAAAAACAAAGTGTTATGGGAATACGCATGGTGAAGAGACGTGAGGCGATGGACTGCCTGGGGGAGTCAAGAAGGCTACATTGAACCAATAACTTTTGAGTTCATTCTCAGAGGATGGGCTAAACTTTGCCAAGAGGATAATATCAGAGATATTGGCATTACAGTCAAAATATATATTTGTTTTATATTTCTACAAAATTTGTATTTGTATTTCTTTGGTTTGTATTTTTACCTCATAAATTCGGAGGCTTCGATAATTAGGATCACTATAAAATGAGTATATTTCTACATTTTTAATCCTAAAGTTGACATGTTCTAATGACTGACTACAAACTAGATACTTCCAGATGAGCGGAAACAGAAGTCTAAGCCGGAATACAGTCAGTGTACTAAGGCATTTAGCCTGGCAGGGAGTCAAGATGATAGGAGATCAAATATCCAGCCTGAATACTATGGCATGTCTCAGCACTGGCTGTGTTCTGACCTCAATGTTTTCAAACTTTGCCTGTTTTTCACTTGTCTTAAATTTCTCTCTGACATCCCTAGATCTGATATCCCCAGTGCATCCCTCAGAAAACAGCAATGCTCTAAAATGACATGGTTAGAGCCAGAGAATTTCCTCCTGGGTGTCTCACTCTATTATTGAACTCAACATGCCCCAAACTAAACTCTTAGATTTCCCTATGGTCCAGCTGCTCCTCCCAACTTCTCTCTCTTTGGTATGGACAAGTCACTCAAGTCACTCAGACTCAACATTATAGAATTATCTATTGCATTCCCAAGGTTATAGGAAATTTTCCTTTGAAATATCTTTTATCACCATTTCCTCTACATTTCTGCCACTTGCTATTGCCATCCATGCCTTTATCACCTGACATCTGGATTATTATAACAGCTTCCTCCATGGTTCCTGCAATTCCAAGGTCAATCCTTCCTGTAGTTTCCGGGATGCTTTTGACAAATGCATCTTCCTCAAATGCTACTTTGATTATGCCACTCTCTCACTTGTGCCTCCCCTTTCTAAGTTGGAGAGAATGATCCACTATACAAATCCAGAAACCTTCTTTGTTTTTGTCAGTATCCCCACTGCATTTAAACAGCCTAGCAGACTTGTTGGCCACATTTAAGTATTTAGAAAACAAAGTAAGTTTGCCTTCTCCAAACACACTTACCATGTTACCTTGGTGCTTTGTGATATTCATTATATTTCTTTTTACAGCCAGAAAGTTCCTTAAATAAATATATTTCTTATATAAAAAAAGGTCCTTGTGTGCTCACACATGCTCACAAACACACACAGACAAATACACACACACATACCTGCAGTTATCACAGAGCTGTGACGATGATTTCTTGACATATTTATGTTAAGCTTGTTGTTGTTGTTGTTGTTAGGTGCCCTTGTATTGTCTCTGACTCATAGCAACCTCACATACAGCAGAATGAAACACTGCCCAGTCCTGTGCCAGCCCCACAGACATTCCTGTACCTGAGCCCATCATTGCAGCCACTGTGTCTTTCCATCTCTTTGAGGGCCTTCCCCTTTATCGTTGTCCCTCCACTTTGCCAAGCATGATATTCTTCTCCAGGGAATGGTCCCTTCTTACAACATGATCAAAGTAGGTGAGATGAAGTCTGGCCATTCTTACTTCCAAGGTACATTCCGGCTGCACTTCTTCCAGAAGAGATTTGTTAGTTCTTTTAGCAGTCCATGGTACTTTCAACATTCTTCATCAACACCACAACTCAAAAGCATTGACTCTTCTTCGGTCTTCCTTATTCATTTTCCAGCCCTCACATGCATTAAGTGATTGAAAATACCATGGCTTGTGTCAAGGACACCTTAGTCTTCAAGGGAACATCTTTGCTCTTCAGGACTTGAAAGATGTTTGTGGTAGTTCAGTTTGTGTGTCAGCTTGGCTGGGCCTGGCTGAATGGCTGGGCAGCTAGATGTAGTATTCCCCACGATAAGACTGGTAATCAACTCCATGGTGGAATCTACTGGGAGTAGCTGAGTAGCTGCCTTAGGAAATGTGGTCTGCTTCCTGTATATAAGCAGAAGCCTTGGGGAATGGTCTCTAGCTTTTGGCATGCTTGGACCCTGCATGTAGCTGTGTCATTGTTCAGCAGCCTGCCATGCTCTGCTGACCTTGGGACTTGCAATGGGCTTGAATTAATGGCCTGCCATGTGGTTTGGTAACATTGGGACTGTGCCTTTTCACTTGTCGACCTTGGGTTTTTCAGCCTCAGTAGCTAGCAACTGTCTGAGTG